TCTGGTTAAAAAAAAAAAATTCAAATGGAAATCCTTGGGACTATCTCTTCCCCATGACTTCAAGATAGAAGATCAGAAACAATACCACCTCCCAGGAAGTACTTCAGAGAAGAGATACACCACTAAGACTTAAATCGTGCAGGAGCCAAATGGATTGTGGGAGATGATAGTGGATACCTTAAACTTGGCCAGATGGTAGCATCAAGTGCAGCTGGCATGCCAGATGTAATATCTTCACTGGAATATATCAACATAGCCTTCTGCACATGGGATGCAACACGATCTGGCAAGTACAACATGAGGAAGATTTAAAAAACAATGTGCTTTTATGCCAGGGGCAATGGCACACATTTGTAATCCCAGCAACTCAGGAGGCTGAGGGTGAAGGATTGCAAGTTCAAGGGCAGCCTCAGGAATTTATCGAGGCCCTAAGCAACTTAGTGAGACCCTGACTCAAAATAAAAAATAAAAAGAGCTGAGGATGTAGTTTGGTGGTAAAATGTCCCTGGGTTCAATTCCCAGTATTATAAATAAATAACAAATGCACTGTTATGTGCAAAGGACAGTACTTCATATTCACTATTTTACCCTAGGTTATGTTATCCCCAGAATTATAATAGAGTCCATAGGAGACTTGTCCTTCTGACACACCACAGAATATAAGGCTGGTGACAGCATGCTAATTGGAGCCAGTGAGGCAGAAATGACAGCTATCCACTTGAATCTAATGTATGAAATATGATATGTCAAGAGCTTTGTAATGTCTTGAACAACCAATAAAACACACACACACACACACACACACACACACAAAGATACTCCATTCAGATGTGTGTGTCCAAGGGTGGAAACTCCATCCCCTCCCTCATACTCAGACAGTAGCATCTGGGGCAAAGTCTTAGGTGCCAGTATTGTTTTAGGGACCATGATCCTAGGGATCAGAGGTGAAGGAAAGAGAGGGAAAGCAAGGAAGGAGGAAGAGCCCATAAGAGGCAAGAGATGTGCGCGATGGTTTAGGAGATGCCTTAGTTTACTTTCTGGAGCACTGCATCTGAAGAGGAAGGAGAAAAAGGTATTCCCTGGGTTCCACTGGCTGAGAACTTGTCTCAGGGAGGGTAACTGTGCTGCACTTCCAGGTTGCTGGCTCATGGGTGCTGAGCAGACTGAGGATGTCACACCCAAGCATCTGCAGGGAGGTCTTGGGGTGGAAGTCAGGAGGTGCAATGAGGGCATAAGGCAAGGGCTGTGAACTGAGCCCGCCTGAAGTTGGTGAATGTCCAGGTAGAGTTGGTTGCAAGGAGGGAACTGGGGTTAGAATAAGTGGCCAAAGACACTGAAGCCAGGGGATGCTGTAAGAATCTGAAATGGTCATCTCAATTTGGAGTCAGGGAGTCCACCATGAGCACTCCCTTTGGTCAGTTTTCTCAAGAAACACTGGGAGGAAAGTGGCAATAAGAGGCAGCCATCGCATGTCTGTGTGTTTTCAAGAGCTGAGCAAGGGAGCCGAGGGCTTTGTCTACCGACTTCTGCCCAAGCTGCTGCTTGGGTGGGGATGGGAAAGGCATTAATTCCCTGGCACTCCTGGTCTGCTGTGTTGGTGGGCAGAGCAGGCTCCGGGTAAAGCTCCCAGCCCCAGACCCTCCCTGTCCACCATCAATACCAGCTAGAAGGTGGCCACCCTGCACATAAATGACTGAACAGGGCACTGACCATGGAGCCCTCTCTCCTGATTTTCCTTTCCTCTGTGGATTGTTAGATTTTCAAATCCATCATCCTCTATTATGCTGAACAAATCAAGTGTCTTCAGCCTGTGGCCCTCCTTGGCATAACCGAACACATCGAGGTGTCATCAGTGCAAAAGGAAGCAGCGCCTCTGACTTATACCCCTAGGCCGCCCTGCAGAAGCTGAAATGACTTCAGAGACTGCTCAGCACCCCAGAGGAGCAACCTGGGAGCTCAGAGCCATTATACTCTGTGGGGTGAATCTTTAGGCAGTTGTGGGTTTAAACTTCATTATTTTCTCTTGATTATCCAAGAAACAGTATATTCTTTGCTAATTCTAATAAATTCTTTTCTAGTCAGCTGGTGAAGTCTGTTCTGCCCTTTCTGCTCATTAAGTCAGACATTAAGGCAAGCTTTGGGTATCTCCTGTGAACTCTCTCTTCACGACTCCACTGAGAAGTATTATATCCCATGAGCTGAAGAAACTCAAGTTCAGAATGACATGTACTAATTCTTGGTAACTTCTTTCCAAACCAAGTTTGGGATGCTTCTTACAGATTTCTGTGTCCATTCCAACTGCTCTGAGACAGTCTGGGGAGTGTTTTTGGATGCAGAATTTTCTGGGATGTTTGGATGGATTATAGGAAAATGGAACAGCCTATTCATTTGGTGGAGTCCGGGAAGATCTGGAACATAAAATCCTTCGTCTACACGTCTCGGTCTCACAGATTGTACTGCACCATGGTAAACAATTTAGACTAGCTTGGGTATGACATGAAGCTTCCTCTTAGCCATTTCTACAACTTCACATTGAATTGCAGGAAATCACTTAAGCCCTCACACCACTGTCTGGCAGGAGGTGCAATGCCTCGCTTGGCTTCCTGCCCCATCCCTCCCACGCCTGCAGCTGGGACCAGTTTCACCCTCTCTCTCCTTCAGCTCCCAGCCCCAGCCCCTCCCTGTCCACCATCCATACCAGCTCATAATTCCCACTTCCAGGCAAAACTACAAAATGAGAACCCTTCTTGCCTATGGACATGACTAGAGGTACACGAAAGAGGTTCAAAACCAATGGTGCTAACATGCATCTATTTCTAGTCTGTTCTAGGGGAGAAACAAGTTTCAGGAACTTATATTCCAGTGAATTAAGTATTAAATATTTAAGCAGAACCAACAAACTATGAAATGTGCACACAGGACTTTGTTGCAGGAGAAGTAAAGCAATCTGCCATCTGATCCATGTGTGTCTCAGATTGATAAATTGGACCACAATCGGGTCCACCAATTTAAATGCAGATATACTTCATACTTCAGGTAGCATACATTACTGAGGGGGGCAAGTTTATTTCTAAATGGCATGTTCGTTTTCACACCTTTCAAGGCAGATAAATTTTATTTGTACATTAAACATGTAGAAATATGTCCTTCCCTTTCTTTCTTTAAATATGACTTTGTCCCTATATCTTTCATTTACCCATTTTTAACAGGGAAATGAGCTCTTAGTCTATGCCATTTTTTTTTCTTTCTCATAAGCAAAGACACAGTGCAAGTGTGGCTGAATGGCAATTGACTCCTAGCCGTGGTGCTGGGAACCTTGGAGAGTGGTGGGGACTATGGCAAACCGAAAAAGTGTGGCCTAAACTTAGGCAGCCGTCCCTAATCAATGCCAGTCAATTATCAGCGCAGGGAACCCAGGCCCCATATTGCAGTGTTTCCCAACATTTTGAAAAGAAGTAAGAAGTATGGACTTGAACGTGTAATTTCCTAATATTGCTAATTTAATCTGGAGTTTGATGCCTGGCAAATCAAATAAAACATATCTGTGGGCAACACTGGGTCCATGGCCACGAGTTCGCAGTCTCTGGTTTTAACTATCATACAGAACTACAGAAAAGCTGTGTAGTCACAGTTGATGTGGCTTTTTCCTAACAATATGGTAAAATTGTTCTAAGAAAGTCAATTGTATTCCTAATTGACAGGGTACTTTACAAGCAATAGAGAAATATACAACTAAGGAGGCCAGTTCTCTATGGTTAGTGATTGATAATAAGGTTATATCCGTCACAGAATGACCGCAAGTGGGACAGAATTAATTGAAGAAAATGCAAACAGATTTTTTTTTTTTTGTTAGAATGCATTTTGCCTTCCGTTACCTCGAGGTGAGACTATTCTAGAGTTGCTTTGGCTCCAGATGCCTCAGTTTCTCAGAAGCTTTTCCTGCCTAGCTTCCCCCCTTGCTCCCCCTCTCCCAGGCCGCAGCCCTGGTCATCCCCAGCACCAGTAACAGAAGCTAACATCCAGTGGGCATTGTCCTGGGCCAGGCACTCTGATAAACACTTTATATTTCAGTAACACCTCCAATCTTCCCACCAACCTAAGAGGAGGGAAACTTTTCCATTCTCATTTTACAGATCTGCCCATGTTTCCGGAAGTAACAGCTAGGATTCAGTCCAGACACAGTGACCCCCCAACTTGTGAGCCCAAGCTCAGAATTCCTACTCTGCTGTCTCTTGTTTGTTAGAGGGTCTTTCTCTTATAGTGACAGGGACTCACTATCTTATAAGGATTTTCTCAGTGTATGTGAAACTGCAACATTTGAAGACCTTTACATCTTTTTTTTTTTTTCCAAATTAGTCTCCTTCATTGACAATCCATCACTCACTGGGTAGATGAGGCCTCTCTGGGCCTCAGTTTCTCCATCAATAAAATGGAGAAAGGTGGGAAGTGGCTGGATCAGGTTTCTTAGGGCTCTAGCCATAATAAATATTCAAGGAATCCAAAATGCTGAGGTAAGGCCAACTGTTGCACGTGACCCTTCAAGTTCTTCTCTACATCACTAATGTACCTCAAGAAGGCCACTCCTGGGAATCCAAATGGGTTCATGGGGTAGGTGTGACTGGTGGGGCACAACTGTCAGGAGCTCCCTGCAGCTGTGCGACCTCGCTCATTCGCTCATTCGCTCTGCCTGTGAGCCTCGGTCTCCTCATCTGTCATGTAAGGCCGTCCCAGTGATTCCGGCTTCTCTGGGTTGCTGAGACGAAAGGAAGAGCTTTGTCCGTGGGCAGCCCCAACTGGGACAGGCTTGAGGGCGGGCGAGGGGCGGCGCGTCCCACTAGCCCGGAGCAGGCGGGCGCGGGGCTGTCCTCGCAGGTTACATAAGGCCGCTGGCTGGAGGCGGTGGCAGGGAGCGCGCGTCCGTGGGGGGAAAGGGGCGTGGGGAGCGCGGTGCTGCTGGGATCCCGGGGCGTGAGTGCGCCGCCGCTGCCCGAGGTAGGGCGCGGCGGAGTCGGGTTTCAGAGCGCCGGCGACTGCGGGCGCGGGCGACTCAGGGCGCGGGCCCGGATCCTGCCCGCCGCCGCCGAGCGCCGTCTTTGTTCCCTGCAGGAAGGGCGAGCGGGGCGGCCAGCGCTCAGCGCCCCTCGTTCTCCGCCGAGCTCGGTCACTCTGCCCGTCCGCCGCGCGCCTTCAGGGGCTCCGCAGACACGCGCGATGGCGCCAAGGTGGGACCCGCTTGCCCGCGCCGCAGCCCCCTCCGACCAGACCGCCCGCCTCGCCGTGTCTCCCTCGGCCACTTATTGCAGGAGGAACGGGCAGTGCTGGCGAGTGCTGTTGCTGCTCTCCATCTCGGCGCTCCTCTCCGCTGTCACCCAGACACGCGCCTCGACAGGTAAGCGACTCACCCGGAGGGTGGCACTAGCTGCCTCCGCGCCCTGGGGAAGTTGGTTTGGGCGGCGGACACGGCTGCGGTGCGCTCCTCATTCCTGGACATAAAAGGGAGTCCTTGCCACTATGCGCGCCCTGGCGGTCCTACCCGCGGCTTTCTCAGGACAGTGTGCGGGTTCTAGCCGCAAAGGCGGTCCCTGGGCTGCCCCGGCGGTAGAGCACTGTAGGGGTTCCGGGGGTGTCTGATCTAGGCGTGGTCCCGCCAATCTTCGACCGAGAGGGACTTTGGAAGCAGTTTGCCAGCGCTAAGGCAACAGTTAGCCTCCGTGCACCCAGCGCACGCGCTCAGGTTGTGCGCTCAGGCTGGCTCATTGGAAAGGCAGGACGGTGCCTTTTTATACACAGGTGCGGAAACCTGAGCACCAACAGGGACACTTGTCGCCTTTGCAGCGCCAGAAACAAGGGAACTGAATTGCTTCTCATGCCTACTTTAGCTTTTAGTTACCTAGCGGGGTGTCACATTCATTATGGGCAGTGGCACCATGGATGATGGAAAGAGCTGTGGGCTGGAACCGGGGAACCTTGTCCCTTCTGTTCCCTGGGCTTTCGTTTCCTGATTCAGAGGTGTTGGCTGAGCAGTGGAGTCTGAGGTTAGATGGTTAACTCGGCTGAGTCGGTTTAAGGTCATGCTGCAACTTTGGGAATGGATTTCACCTCTCTGTGCCTCGGTTTTCTTATCTAAAAAGGAGAAATAGTTAGACGGTCCTGCCTCCTGGAGATGCTGTGAGGATTCAGGGAAAAACAAGATGTAATGTGTCTTCCTTGCTGCTGGTACATATGAGGCACACAATCAGTGGTAGAACTTCCTATCTGCTTGATAGAACTGCTTGATCCTTGCAGTAACTGTGTTTGGAAAGCAATGCAGAAATTTTTGCATCATTGAAATAGAGAGGCTCTAGAAGTGGCTGGTCTGAAAGCTAGAACTTGAATTCAGGTCTCCAGACTCCTAATCCTCTTTAGCCACTTCCCCAGGCATTTCAATAGGAGAATCCATCTCTCAACGGTGACTTCTGACCCCTTTTGGATTTAGAGGATTTGTATACAGCCCTGATTGAATAGGGATTGAGAAGACTGTGAAGTAGCTCCTGGTCCCCTGGTGGAGTGGGTGTCCTTGGTTAACTCTTTGTATTTGAAGAAGCCTGGACAGCCCAGACTTGACTCTCAGGGAGTGAGATTCAAATGCGATGATAGCTTTTCCTGCCAGAGCTTCCAGCTTTTTTTTTTTTTTTTTCCAGATCAAAGGGCAGCTGGAGCATAGTTTTGGCTTCTCAGCTCCATGGCCCATGTTGGAACGCTGCAATTTTTGCATGTGCTACAGGGCACTGCCAACTCAGTGATAGAGGGCAGCTTTTGGATTCTGTGGTCTTTTGAGAACCTTGCTGTAACTCCTACTTACCCAAAGCATTGGGAAGGGAACTGATATTTCTTTCTCCTCCTGAGTTTGCAGCCTGGTGCCCTGATGTCAGATCAGGATTGTTTTTTCTAACAAGGAGGAAGTCCTGTTTCCATCCATAACCTAGAGAGGGAGGGCCAGCAGCTCCTCAGGAGGGCCATTTACAACTGATGCTAGTCAGTGTTCCTTGCGGAATCTGAAGCCAGTTCCTGGAAATGTGAACTCTCCAAAGTTTGCCGCAGTTCCGTGTGGCAACGCTTACAAAACACGGTCTGTCCAGGTGGAGTGGGAACGTGTTCCTGTTTCATTCCTCCACTTCTCACGATCCCTCCAGGAGGTGGGCACTGAGGACTCTTACTACTTCTGTTCTTCAGACGAACACACCAAGGTCCAAAGTCACAAGACTTGAAAGCATCTGGGGTAGAATTGGAATGAGAGAATGTGACTTCATTGCCCTTGCTGAATACCGTCCTAGTATTCAGTTAGAGCAGATTCACAGATGCAAGGACCTTGCAGGGCCCCACAGTCTCTAGTGAACCCCATAATCAGAGTGTCCTAATCGTAGCATGAGCTCATTGCATCTGCATGGCTATTGTGCAGTCTGCAGAGCACTTACCCTCCACCAGCTCACAGGATCTGCCGCCTGGGAGTGCTGAGAAGTTAGGTTCCATCTTGTAGACGGCTTTCACGGGAGTCTATTCAGCAACACAGAGGGGTGATCCCTGTACAACAGTTCAGGTGGACCTTCCAGGCATTGCACTAAGTGAAAGAAGCCAGGCATACACTGGGTATTGTCAGAGTCCCATTTATACAAAGTTTCTAAAAGGGCAACCCTGCAGAAATGGAAACCACCAGCAGCTGCCTGGGCCAGAGTCGGAAGCAGGGACGGACTGCAAATGAGCATCAGGAACTTTCTGGAGAAGTGTTCTAACACTGGACTGGGGTGGTGGTTGGACAACTGTATACATTTAAGAAAGTTCACCTACCAGGACAATTAAAATGAGTGAATTTCAGGGAGGGTGTACTGTGCCTCACTGAAAAGAGTTATAGAAACAGAAGAAAGCATTTCCCCAGGTACCAGGGCACCCAGGCTCCAGCCTGGACACACCCAGCCCACGGGGGAGGGGGGGACACTTGCAAGCTGCCGACTCACAGTGCACTGCCTCTCCTGAGTTCCGGCTGGAAAGGTCAGGTCCACCTGTACCTCCAGGTCTCCAACTCAGTTGTCCCCAGCATCTCTGAATGTCCTTGTGGGCCCAGGGTAAGTCTCCCCTGAAAGGGACAGAACACAGGCATGTGGCGATTCACAGATAATGGAGCTGTTGAAAAAAATGGATACTGGTAAACTTCCTGTTTTTCCTTCGGTACCTCAACCCCATTTAAATTTCAAGCATTGGGAAGCTCGGATTTCATCACCACTACCTCTGTGAACTCAGATGAGTTTCCCCTGAGTCTCAGTTTTCCTGTCTATAAAATGGGGAGGCAAGATTCACTCCTGTCTATTTTCCTTCTAGTTTAAAACATGGCAAAACAACAACCTTTGCCTAGTGTGAGCTCTAACTTATTCTGCATAGTTTAGTTCAACAAATACAAACTGAACACCCACTTTACCAACCTGCATGCTGACCCGGGACAGAAAGGAGTTGGGCACAGATCTGCCCTGAGGGGATTATAATGCATAGGCAGAAATATAGGGTATCAGACAACAGTCCTGGAACCCTTCACACTCAACATCCATCCCGTCCTGTGTGCACCCAATCCCATCCCCTTACACATTCCTGTTTAAAGAGACTTTTTGCAGTGGGGTGTCACCGCATGACCCCTGTGTTCCTAATGGGTCAGGACTGGGCTGCCAGACAGCATTATCCCTTCCTTTCCCTGTGAAGGCACAGTGTCATTGGAATGCCTATTATTTTGGAAGATGAGCCATGGTTGGGGAAGGGATGGAGTGGTTATAAGTAATTTGTTCCTGCCATCAAGTGCTGATATGTATAAGTTATTTGCTTCTCTTTAAAATATCAAACCATTGAGAAAAGTGCTTGCTAAAAGTACAGCTCTTTTATTATCACAGAATAAACCTAAAACCCAGGTCAGGAAGCGGGCTAGCCCCCAAGCTCTGTGAGGCCCTGTGCTGAGATTTTTCCCTCCCTCCTCTCAGAGGTAAATCTCACCTTGCCATCACTTACTTGCATTTAATAAATATCTTTACTACCTAAGTATATCTCCTTAAATTCTGAAGTTCTTTTTAATTGGTTTTAAACGTTTTATGGGAAGGATATATTCTTTGATATCTGTTTCCTTCACTGACTATTAAGATTTTGGAGATTTATTCGTGTCATCGTATGTGGCTGCAGTTAGTTTATTTTCATTGTTGTATAATATTCCATTCTGTGAATACATCAAATATTTTTTAATCCATTTTTTTCCTCCAGCAACATTTGGGGTGTTGCCACTTTGGGCTAATGTGACAGACAGTATGGCTGTGAACATTCTGGTTGTCTCTGGTGCACATATATATCAGTTCTGAACCTAGGAGGAGAGTGCTGGGTCATAGGGTGTCCATACCCTTCCACGGAGCGGCAGTATGTTCTCACTGTGGCTATACCAACATCCGTGGCCACCAAGAAATGAGAGTCCCCATTCTTCACCTCCTCCCCAGTGCTTGGTCTTGGCACTGAAGTTGAATTTCAGCATTTCTGGTGGGTACATTCGAAAATCTTACTGTAGCCTTAATTTACATTTTCCTGATTATTAAGTTGATCACCTTTTCCTATGTTAATGGACCATTCTGACATCCTAACTTACTTATTTTATTGACAGGAAATTCATGACGGAAGATTGATTATTTTAAAGTGTAAAATTCATTGGCATTTAGTGTGTTTATGCAATCACCATTTCTATCAACTTCCAAAAAACATTTTTGTCATTCCAAAAAGAAGCTGCATACCCACGAAGGAGTCACTCTCCCTCTTTGCTCTACTCCCGGCTCCCAGCAACCACTAAACTGCTTTCTGTCCTCGTAGGTTTGCCCAGTCTGAATATTTATACAACATGTGACCCTTATGGTCTGGCTTCTTTCACTGAGCATAACGTTTCAAGGTGAATCCATTGTGTGTGTGAGGTTTTCAGTATCTGACCTGGAGGAGGAAAGGTTTATCTGGACTCCCAATTTCAGTGGTTCAGTCCATGGTTGGCCATGTGCATTGCTCTGGGCCTGAGGTGAGGCAAAACATCGTGGCAGCCAGGAAGCAGAGAGAGGGGAAAGAGGGTACAGAGAAGATGATCCCTTCCAGGTCATGCAGCCAGTGACCCACCTTCCCAACCCTGCCCACCTGCCTACAGTTACCACCTAGTTAGTCCATTCAAACTAAAATGGAGCTGGGCGTGGCGGTACATGGCCGGTAATCCCAGCAGTTTGAGAGGCTGAGGCAGGAGGATCACAAATTCAAAGCTAGCCTCAGCAATTTAGTGAGGCACTGAACAACTGAGCAAGACCCTGTCTCTAAATAAAATATTTTTTAAAAAGGGCTGGGGGGTGCTGGGGTTGTAGC